CTCACGACCTCCTGGATAGAGCTTAAAAAAATGGGCAAGTTCGCCTATGTCAGAAACGAGTTTCCGAAGGTCTAAAACAACACTGACTGGCCAAAAGGCAACAAAACGAACCCCGGCAGTTCCCACAAGGCGTGGATGCCCCGGCAAAAAAAAAAAAAAATACAGTGCCGGCTTAGTTCGAATTTTTTTTATTTTTTTTTTAAGTAATCTATATTCTTCTCTCAATCTATGTCATCTTTTTTCTTGGTAGTACGCATGATAACACATCTATCTCATCCTCTCACTAGTCTATTTATAGTAAGCCAACCCGGATCTCTCCCCAGCCCACGGGGTAGGTTTGCACCACAGTTGTGGTGCGAGAGCAAGGCTGTACCAGTCCCTCATCACGGTGATGAGGGGTGGGCAGGCATTGCCGATGGAATCGGCGGTGCTATCGGCGGTGCTAGCGCCGAGCAATGGCCAGTCACTGCACCTCCCCCTACCCCCCCCCAACCCCACATGGCCGTGTCTAATGGCCAATATTGTCACCGCATAGCAGCCAACAACATCAGCCAAGGTCCTGCCAATGCTGGCTTGGGGGGCCAACGGGTTATCTCTAGCTGGTAGAACACCAAGCTTGCCCAGGCACTCTAGCTGGTAGAACACCAAGCTTGCCCAGGCACGTACGTGAGGCCAATGGGGATTGAACCCACGACCTCCTGAATGCAACTTCCGTGCCTTACCAACTGAACTAGGCCCGCAGGCCGGTTTAGTTCGAATGGAAGTGGCGGCGCCGCAGAGTGGGATGAAATAAGTTTTTTTCGTTTTTCGTTTTTCTTTTTCTTTATTTTTTTCTTTTTCGTTTTCGTTGATCACTATGGCCGACTTTCGTCTCTGTTCGACTTATAATCTCACAGTCAGACAGGCTTTGACCATAATGCTCTACAGCTGCGCAAAGGGCTAGCTTGAGCCTACTACACTTTGATAAATCAAGCCTGAGCCTGGAGGCACGAGTTGATTAGATCCCAAGCGAAAAGCTCGAGCTTCCAGTCGCCTGGAAGTTCAGACTGTATCATCATCCCATCTTATACGCATGGGATGTCTGGCGTGCAGTCGTAGAGGCTTTTCCTTTTTCTTTTTCTTTTTCTTTTTCTTTTTCTTTGTGGAGAGAAACAGAACCGAAGAGTAATGGTAGTATTTATAGCAGGGAGGTAGAGAACAAACTTACCTTCCGATTGCCCCTGATGACGCTGTTCTGGCGACAGCAGAAAGTTAGAAACTACCATCTTCCCCCGAACATAACGCACCCTAAAAATGAATGTATACAAGCTATATTTCCGGCCAGATACAGCCAAATGGTCATTTCGATTGTTATTCAGCTAATTGTTCTTAAGCTTACAGTGCCAGGCCGTGGTGTCCAGACGGCCCGAATTAAAAAACGGCGGAAAAAAAAAAGAAAAAAAAAAAGCGCTATTTTAACCGAAAAATTGCGGTTTCAAACTGGGCGCCTGGTTTTGTAGCCCGCGTGTGCTTTTTTTGGCCCTTCGCAGCGCCACTTGCCACGGTTATTGGACAGGTAAGGAGACCACTACATAAATGGTAATTTGTTTTTTGGAAATTTTAATTCACATATATATACTCCATTTGAGAACTCGTTTTAATGAGCCATTTGCAGGTTTTGATGAGCCATTTGCATCCGTTGTTGTTGTTGGTGTCGTCCTTTCTCATAAAAACAATAAACAAACAGACCTACAAATAATCGACATTTGGGTCACATTGCCTCTTGTACAAATAATACAAATAAACGACATGTGCGTCACATTGACTTTTGTGAAATGGGCGACATTGGGCGTGCCTACCGTCTCCCTGTTTAGCAACCCACACACACGCAGACACCCACACCCACACACACACACCCACACCTACCCACACCCACACACACACA